GGGGCCCCGCACGGCCCTGGGGCTCCGCGGATGGCGGGGCCGGGGTGTTGCCGGCTGCGCTCCTGCTCTTGGTGTAGCTCCTCGCAGCTCTTGTGTTCAGCGCTGTTTGCGCGGGCGCTTGAAGGCGAGGCTCGGCGGCGTTATGTAAGTGGCCCTTGTTGCCCCACTCGTACTTTGCTAAATAAATAAAAAATTTAAAAAGGACAACCAAAAAGCCATGGTATTCTTCCACATATTGTTAGAGTCTGGAAAACTGTCTTTTTGAAACAGCCAAGATCCCTTGTAGCAGCTCTCAAATCTTGATCTTCCTTTTTGCTCTGTTTAATGCAATTTTCACAACTTCATTTTTTAATTTGTTTTTAAAGTAAAGTGTCTTGGGACTGTTTTGTACACCCAAATGCTGCCTAGATAGTATGGCTTCATTCCAGTGGCCTTACGTAAATTAAAATGCTTGTGCTGACATAGTCCTGCAAAATATGACACTCCCTCGCAAGTTTTCCTTGCTGGGAGACTTGGAAGTTTAGCTCTGACTTCAAATTCAAAACTCACAGCCCTGCCCATCGTGTAAGCTTGAGATTTTCCCCAGTTCTTCTGTTAGTGCTGAACAATACTGAGCAATTTTATTTCTTTCGTCTTTGTAGCATGTTTGCTTTTCCTTTGTGTAAACCTGCTTAGAAGTACCCAAGTTAGATGTAGAAGTTTGTTACAAAAAGCACGGGGAAGTCATACCGTTAACGTTTGCCGATTTATGGTTTTTGTTGTAGTGCATAAATAATCAAAGAGGTAGTTTACTGCCATTAAAGTTAACAGGGGCGTTTGCTTCTGCTAGGAGAAGGCAGTTACTGGTCACACACACAGAGTAAAGTGATCTTGCATTTCTTCTGGCCGTTTTTACAGTCAATCAGAAACATGCATTGGCAAGGATGTCTCTCGTTGCCACTTTGGGTCTCCTGCTTTTCCTTCTGCTTATTGTTTCGTCTTCCTGGACTTCCTGTGAAGTCAGCTCCCTCCACAGAAGTGTGATAAAATAACAGTTCTTATTTCCCCAGAGGCTTTGACGTGCATTTCGCGAAAACCATCTTTTTAGTCTTGTAGAACCAAGGATAAGCTAATTTGCAGGAGCTTAAAAAGAACAATGCAAATGAAAATACCAGGTAAATCTCTGGTTATTTCAGACTACTGCTCTAAAAAAGAGCTGAATGAATCATAACATCTGCAATGTAAGACGGGATTCGTTATGTTAAAGATGCTAAACCTGGCTCTTCAGCTCGGGTAAGAATCCTGGGTGCTGTTAGTTTAACATTTAGACACCTAAGGCTGTGCTGCCCAAGCGTGCACTGAAGTCACCTGGAACTGAAGATCTTTCCGACAGCTTCAACAGATGTTGAGTCAAGATGTAGTGTAGTATGTAGTAGGTGGCAGTAAGAAATGTATCTTTCTGTACAACAATAATTTTGTTAAGTCTCTCAGAACTTTACATATTCACCTAGTGCTTTCCAGCACGCAGCACTTCAGCAGCCTGCACTGAAAGGAACTTAAATTTTGTAGATATCCATCTAGTAAAATATTCAAAGCGGATTAACTACCAGAAAGTGTTTTGTTCAGAACAGTTTAGTTAATTTATTTCACTTTTTAAAGTAGAGTAGGCCTACTTTTCTGTGAGTGGTGCCTGTCCAATGCCCTTTTTATGTTGTACTACTAGTGATCACGCACAAAAAGCAGTGCAATGTTAAAAGGGCATTGGCCAGCAATACTATCTACATTGCTCGTTATTATTCTATGGAATCACAAGTCAAAAGTCATTCTTATATGTCTGAGACTAGAAGATGATTCGACAAACAACTATAAAATGGGATGGTCGGAGATTTATTGTTTTGCATTCATTATCTCCTAGTTATTTGTCAAGGAGAAATTTGAATTGATCCTTTAATGGCAAATACCATCAGATCTAGGTGTCTGTCCTTATACATAAAAAGGACAAAAGGATCTTCCCACAAAAAGGGAAGAACACTGTGCAGCATTCCCATTTCTCTACAAAACATTGTAGATGTCCCAGGTGTAGAGTTGCCTCAGGTTGTTGCTCTGGGTGCATCAGTCATCTTTTATATCCACTCCCCATTTCTTTGCATTTGTTGTTAGGAATGCTAACGCCTACAAACCTCAGGAGTTCTCAAACTTTATATGAAGTTATTGTGTTTTTTGTAATAATAGCACCTTTATTGAGATTTATGAAATACACCCCCACATTCATTGTCCTCTAACATCCAAATGGTTACCCCAATGGTATTTTAAATCCACAATGTTGTGAAATCTTGTCATGTTTAAATGCATTTAAGAGTGACTCAACACCTTCAAATCAGAAGAATAAACTTTAGTGTCCAGAAAATGTTCCCTGCAAGGCAGTTTGAGAACATCTGTCTAATAGCACTTTCCTTGTCATAAGATGAATCCAAAAGATAATTAAGTTTGGAAATGTCATTTCCAGTTGAATGAACACAAGTTTTTTTGAAAACTGAATTTCTGACAGATCGTTAGGATTTTTTTTCCCTCCTTGGTCAGTAGAAGGGCAGTGATTCTAAGTGATTCTAACATCTTGAAATACAGGAGTTCTTACATGTCCGTGTCAGGACTCAGTGAACATTAACCTTATCCAAATCTCCACAACCTACTGAAACCACTATCTGACTCGGGCAGTGATTCTAAGTGATTCTAACATCTTGAAATACAGGAGTTCTTACATGTCCGTGTCAGGACTCAGTGAACATTAACCTTATCCAAATCTCCACAACCTACTGAAACCACTATCTGACTCAAACCATTTTAACCAATACATATTTTGAGAGTATTGATTACTTGTGCAGAATTCTTGCTGCTTACGAATGCTCTGACTTTATTGCACTACTGTACTTTACAGCTAGCAGTGCAATAGTATTGTCAAAGCATCTGAAAGCAGAGTACACAGCAGTGGCTTGAATCTTGCCTTACAGTTTGTAACACTTTCTTCAAAGCCTGTGAGTAAACTGCAAAATCTGCATTTCATAAATGTGCATTTTTATGTGATTCTATGTAATATTCATCATGAAAATGATCCTAATCTATAACATTAAGATGAGATTTTTACAGGTGTATGCATCCTGAAATATAGCAAGAAATAAATATTTCTTTTTATAAAATACGGAAAAATGGGTTTAATGGAGGAATATATCTCAGTGCTTATTAACTATGCCTTGAAGTTGTTAATAAATTTTGTTTCTTTTAGAGAGTAGTATGCTTTCAGGAAAATGCAGTGATACTGAACTGTAATGTTTTCATAAAGGACAAGTCTTAAAGATATTGTCATATGATGCATGAGCATTCAGATTCACATTTAATTTTTAATGTCTGAATCACAGTTGCAGCAAGGACTTAATGGCTTACTGTCATTCTATATATTTCAATATCGGTAGTATTTTTAAGGACAGGACTTCATGGATACTTTTTAAAGGCACTCACATTCATTGTGTGCATTCCTAATAATTAATAATTTGATGGAGGAGATGGAGCAAGGCAGAAAGTGGCCTGCTTTGGTCGTCTGTCCCTAGAACTGAAGAATTATAAATGTTTGCCAGTGGAGGGGAACAGATGTGGTTGAATGGTTAGGAGAAGACCGATGGTTGAAACCTCAACATTCTTCTTGTATCCAGGCCTAACTGCCAAAATACAAATAGCGAAAAGGCCTAAAGCATTTTTTTTTTACACTAGGTACCATTGTGGTACTTCCAATTAGTATTTTGAGATAAGAGTTAACAAACACAGCCTTATTTTGATTCTTTTGGTTGAGGGGGAGGGAAAGTAATGATTGCTTCAGAATTAATCTAATTTTAAATAGTGGAAGCCACACTGAGTTAAGTAACTTCCAAGCATTTAACTTGCTTTCATCATAGTCTCTTTTGTGCCTGTGAATTCCCCAAATAATTATATTAAGAAATTCATGTTTGTTTCATGAACTGAAAGGCTGCCTTTTTTTTCTTTCTTTTTTTTTTTAAGTAGAAGTCCTTAATAGACATTAAAATTGCAAGCTAAAATTAATTAAATATAGCGCTATCAGCACACTGTTTTACAAGGCAATTATCTAATTCTCTGTGGGCTTATTTATCCCAAGGAAAGAAATATGATGTCATCAATTAGATTATCTATTTGGTAGTCTGATTTATTAGAGAATAACCAAATGTGTTATGGGTATTATAATCATCTGAAAGAATACATTCCTAATATCATTAATAACAAAATCTTCATGCTTGGATCCTGAACTTGTAGTCTCTGCTGTGTAAATGACTGAACACTGCAGTTTTGCTAATAGAATTCCTAATGCTTGAAAAGAAAAGCAGCTAGCCAAGAAAAAGCTCTAAAAATCAATGGAGAGTATCTTAATATCTCAGGAAAGAAAACTCCTTTTGCATTCTGAGACAATCAGTTTTAAACAAGATGCATTGTTCTTGTCTCTTGCTATAACTTCCCTCTTTGGACTGCTAGCTAAAAGCTTCATCCTGAGAGGTTTTGCTTAGAAAAGGGCATTTAATCTAGGAATTAGGGGGAATGTTTACAAGCATTTTGTGGAGCTGTGTGAAAAAGGTACTAAGGGCAAGATGAAAGGGCTGCAAAGAGAACAGTTGGGTAATTAGCGTCCAACAAATTTCCATTTGTTGATGGTAGAATTGGTGGGGGGTGTTTTAGTGCAGCTGGGTGTGCAGGGTTTCGTTTATTTCTTACACATGAAAGGAAAATACTCGTGTCTGGGTCTGCATTTGCACTGGGGACAGCTGGGGGTAGTGATGGCTGAGCCAAGTAGCTCAGCTGTAAGATAGCACAGGAGTTTTGCAAAGTAATATGCTAGGTGTTTCTTTTTATTATCTAGATAGTTTATTTTATATTTATTTTGGCAGTTTTTATCTTATAAATATTACACAATTATTTAATGCTTTTTTTCAGTCTAGAAGTGTGTCAGCGTAACTTTCAAACATTAGCTAAGAGCATAGAAGGGAGGATTAGAAACTTACGTTTATAGCATATCTACCTTTAAAATGGAGGCACCTGGCTTCTGCTTTCCTGCAATACAAGAAAGACAAATGGATGAGTGTTGTCTACAGTTTTCATTTTTTAATATACTGTGGCTGATCTTAAATATTTTAGTTCCAGAAGGCAGAATCTGATCTGGATTATATTCAACACAAACTGGAGTTTGAAATAATGAAAAGCCTTCCCGATAATCCAACAGCAGAGGTAGTATTTTCGGATTAAATTTGTAGATTTTACTGTATTTTGCATGAACTGTTAATAAGTGAATGATAATAAATAGATTTTTTTAATCCTAAAATATATTTCAGTTTTCTTTTACCTAGTTGATAGCTTTTTATTACTACAAAGCATTTCTTGCATCCTATAGCCAGGTGACTGGCTTAATAAAAATTCAACAACTTCCCCTAAATTGTTGTGTAGTGGAATTCTCACATTTTGCTTTGAGAAATTAGTAGTAATGTTAACAGTTAATTGTTAGAGGCAGTTTCTGATATTAGCTAAAATACACCACTACCTGACACCGAACATAAACTTGCCAGCAAACAATGACTAAATTCATGCTTGGGAGAGAGGTGAGAGAAAAATGTCGGCATATAACAGATTTAATAAATTTGTCCTCATCTTTACAATATTGTGACATAGAGTGGAAAAATAATCTTTTTAATTAGATGTCTCTAATTTATTCTAAACTAGAGAAGACATTAAAACCACCAATACAGTAAAATCACCCCCTGTATTTACTATGTGGCGCAGAGTAATGCTATTTTAACATTTTATATAATTTTTGCTTATGAGAAAGTAGATGTGTAGTGGAAACTGATGGACACAGCTAAGATTGCCTAATCACTTTCATGGTAGAGGGCCATTTTATATTACATATTAGTGACTAATTGCCTATAGTTTGAATGGCTAGTTAATTTCTGTTCTATAGTAGTTTAAGTGTACTTTTAATTTCTGTATAGGAAAATCCAATTACTCTCTTAGAAGAACTCGCAGTGGTGAAGTCTCGTTACAAGATGTTGTGTGTGCAGCTGGACAAAGTTTCCATAGAGCAGACAGAATCCATGAACTGCATTCGTGCTGCCCTAGAAAACACAATGAAGATGGTTCAGGCACTACAGCAACATACTGATCTTGAGGTACCACTTTTGTTTTGCTCCTGTAAATGAGCATATATTTGTGTAACCTGTACATTAATGGGCGTAGTTGGATTGAAAAATGTGTAATTCCTAGAGACTTAGAAAATAAAAGGACTATTTACCTGAAGAAATATTTGCAAGATCAGGCCTATTTTGGTAAATCACAAGTCTTATTCATCGCTCTACAGTTGGGCAGGATGAGTAACTCTTGAATGCTCCTTTTTATCGAATCATTTATTGGTGTTAAATGGATATTATAATTGGATTTTCAGAAATATTCAGCATGTAAGCTTGCTTTTATTTGAAATAAGTAGGAGTCTACTGTTAGCTTCCATGAGAAAAGGGTTAGACAAACATTGAGTTCCTCTGTAAATAGCAGCATCCGTGGAACCGAAAGCATCAGAATTCTTCCATGTCTTTCTCTTTAGCGCTTGCCTCTGTCAGAGGAAGAACAGGCTGCAGCACAACTGTTAACCTGCCAAACTGTCAACGAAGTGAAATCTCCAGAGGAAGAGGTAATTAGATGACAGTGTCTGTATTTTAGAAACTATTAATCTGAGTAGTTCAAATGAAGTCAGGAAGACTCTTTTTTCAGGTATGGGGCTACAATTTCTCACAAACCTTTTTGGTTTGGTTGTATGGGATTACATTGCTGAGTTGTCCCATTTAAATTGCCCGTGGAAGAAAAAAAAAAAACTCGTTTTGACAGAAGACTTTAATTGGGAAACATTTCTGTTTATTTTCGATGCAGTTGGTTGCTGCTGCTGTTGATCTGTTAACACAGGTAAGAAGCCTTTGGATGGGAATGAAGGGTGTAATTGCTTCAACCCCATGTATATCAAAATGGAGATAAATTTAATTTCCTGTAAAATATTAAATACAGGTTGGAGTATGAGTAAGAATAATTGAAGCATATTGCAACTATAACGCAGCAGAACATAGATGTCAATAATAATAGTTGATAGATATTTATATATTTTGTCAGAGTGACTCAAAGCACAAAATTCTAATAAATCATTTGCAAAGACTGGTCTGCGTCTTATATTAAAAGCAAAATATTAAAGAAAGATTGTAATTATCTTACTGACCTTACGTTTTTCTACATGTCTTCTCATGGCCCACTCTATCAATGATGTCTCTCTTTTCTGTCCTTTTATTGCCATGGTTGGTTTGCATGAAAGATTTCCTGTATTTTTCAGTTTCATTCACTCTTCGTTTGCAGATAACTTTTACCTTGATTAAATACCCTCAATTTATGTTGTTCTATTATTTATTTCTAATGCTCAGCCCTCAATATACTGCTGCTGTAAAACAGGCTGAGTGCAAAATATAGCTGTATCCTGCTCCTGTTAAGGACTGTTTAATTGGTATCAGTCCCTATGTTATCACCTGTGTTTTGAAGGTAGCCGAACAGTCTATGAAAGACAGAAAACAGGAAAAGATACCAAAATGGCCCTGTTTTGGTTTGGTTTTCCTCCATGCTGTATTTCTAGCTGAAAAGTTAGATAAAGCCAACTTCAGTTTGTCAGAACTGTCAGCCCTGAGGGTTGCTTGAGAAGAGGGGAGCCATCTCCTGTCTGGGCAGGGCTTTCAGCTAGATCCGTGCTGGGATGCAAAGGAGGACGCAGAGAGGCTCATCTGACTTGCATATGAATCTTTTTGTTTGCATTTCAAGCTTATTTTTATTTGTATTTGAACAAGATTTTGCTGTTAACTTCAGTAGCTGTGAGATCCTTGGTATCAAATGGTAAAATGCAGTTACTAATACAGATGTGCAAATTGTAAAAAGTAATTTCTGAATAAGATTCCAACAAATCCTGAAATCTCTCTCATTTGTTTTTAGCCAGTTAGTTCAGAATCTGCAGACCCTGAGTCAACTGAAGGTAAGTGCTGAGGGGAAAAAAAAATCTTCCTACTGTTCCCTTTTTTTTGAGCATGAAGACTGATCCCCCCACACACACAGCCCCAGGAAGTTTTGTAAATAATATTTCCTAAGGCTTCCGTCTTCAGTATTTCTCATATATGTCTTATATTTTCAATATTCTAGAATCACAATTCAAACCATTGACTGAAGAAATGCTTAAGGCTGTACCAAGGAGTATCAGGAGTACTGTTAAACTGGCAGACTTGAACAATTTTTACAGGGAGTTATTTAACCACTTCGTTGTAAATAAGAATAGGTAAGACTGAAACAATTAATTAGTCAGACTTTTATAATCTGTAAAGAAATTCCAGCCTTTTCAAACTAAATGAAAGCTGTTGTCAACTTTTTAGTTAGTTAACTATTTGCTGCTAGACTATAAACTTCAAATGTTGATTTCCCTTGCTTAGGCCATTAATGGTTATATATTTATAGTCCAAAGTGACATGCAATCGTAATAAACTCTCCAAATTTATTTGCATAAAAATGACTTATAATTTCATATTTTTCAAAAGTACATGTCAAGTCCTTCACAAACTGATTTTTTTCTGTTTGATTCACTGAACAGATGTCCAAAACTAGGTCTACTCAGAACTAAGTTTTGCTGACACAGTCATATTAGAAAACCCTTTTAGCTTTCATAACCTGGAAAAAAATATAACCTTAACTCAGCCCAAATTGCTACCCCGAATCCTGACCCTGGGCCCTGACTCGAGCCCTTGCCCCTGAGCCCCGGCCTCCGTCTGTGATTTTGGCTGTGGATATTGTCAGGTTGACAATAAAAAATGAAGAAGCTTTTAACCCATTCTGTCTTGGACATTACGCTTGGACTGTTCTTCGAAGCAGCACAGTGAGATTGATGGAAATGTGCCTAAGTGTGAAAATTACAGAGCACTTGCAAAAATCAATCTTGAAACAGTGTGAGCTTTTTAATCACTGCCTGGCCAACCTGATGTTTGATACCCTGCTTTGCTGAATAGTTTGCTCTTGTCTTACAGAGCAGCGCTCAGCATTTCGCAGATGAGCAAGATGAATTTGAAAGCCACTAACTCAAGAGTCCGCATCTTGAAAGAACTCCGTATTGTGGAACTCGACAAACAAGGAAATGTTAAGTTACTGTGTAAATGAAAGCTCAGTCCATTCTTACTTGACGCACTTGACACACAAGTGTCTTGGTTACAGCTCCTGGATTATTCACAAGCAAGTATTGCTCTGGCGTCTGGGAGTTACCAGTGTGCTCTTGGACAGCTGTTAATATTTCTGTGTACAAATTCTGTTTATAGAACTTAAAATTGCAGAGTTAATTATTGAGGTTGGAATTTTATCTTGAATGTTTATAGTCCATCGCAGATGCCTGAGGAGTTAACCATGTGACAGTTCTATATTCCTTGTGACATTCCTGAGTGGGTTTTTATGATAAATAACCCAAACCATTTATTTGTACTTACATTCCTGAATAAATGATTAAAGTTAAGGAAGCCATCAGTGTATTTATTCACTCTCCAAATGGCCCATTTTTGTTTTCCTTTGGTGTGCACTGTCTTGGTTGCAGCCCTGTGATGCTGCAGGATCGCAATGCAGCTGAGATTGGAAGGGATGTCTGGAGAGATCCCTCTCCAGAGCAGGGTCTGCTACCAGCAGCCCTGGATCCCATCCTGTCACCTTTTCAGTATCTCCGAGCTTGCAGACTGACTTCACACCCTCTTTGGGCAACCTGTTGCAGTGTTGCACCACTCTGACAGGAAAAAATAAAGATTTCCTCAGCTTTAAATGGAATTTCCTGTCATGCAGTTTGTGCCCATGTAACTAAATTGCTCCTGTGCGTTGTAATTTTTATTCGCTACTGCAATATTGGGAGAACCCCACTTCAGGGAAAATCCTTTCCCCATGGTGATGCAGTGATAAGCATATGTGATATTTGCATGAGCAAAGCTCCCAAAGTACTGAATCCCATTTATACATTGATATTAGACTAGCAACTGTCTTTTGCCTCACTTTCACATAACAACTGTCTTCTGAGTAAAAAAAATTGCAACGGGAGTCGAGGTACTTGTGCCACTTTTCAGGAATCTGTGTGTGCAAGTACTTGTCACAAGAAGGACTAAGAAGCTGAAAGGGGATGGGAAGAGGCTCTGAGGAGCGTGTTTCTGTCACCACGGCTGCAGGGAGCCGTGCCCAAGCCGAGAGGTGACTGCGGCTGGCCGGGAGGGGGAAGGGGGCCGGGGGGGGGG